CCGTCGTTCTTTCACGATGCAGTCCTGGGAGAAATAAGACACGAACAGTTTTTCAACGCGTCCATGTTGCGTTCATGGTCACGAAAGTTCAACTTCAAGTTGAACCATATGGATTAGCAACATTTGCAGGTGTTAAGATTAGTCGTTACTGCATAGATTGCCGATCATAGCGGTGGCTGTCCTCGATACGGAGTCGTCGTAGCTCGATTTCCCCCCCATTTTACCCGCCGCGCCCGGAGATCCGTTGGTTCGGAGAACCCATGGTGTTCAACCTTCGATTTCGACATCGCCAAGGTTTTATCGCTTTGTATTATGGCAATATAGTCGCGCCATTAACGTGCACTGGCATTAATTTTGGATGGAATTCAACATGACAATATACTCGTGGTCAACTGGCCCTCGCCGTGAGCACAACAGGCAACCGACCTCGCTGGACGACAAAGTAATCCAGCATATTCTCTTCCCACGAGTCGATATCGAAACCCTCCTCGAAACGCATGTCGAATTTACTCATCAACGTGCACACGACCATTCGCATCTCCTACGCGATCGAATGAGAAAACGTGGCTGGAAAACGAGAAGGAAGAATGGATACCTGGTACGCCAAATTACGTCCCACGCAATTCGAGGGACCCACCGAGAACGGGATGAACGCGGCGGTGTTGTGGATAACCTCATGTTTGCCACCAAATATTTTTGGCTCGAGAGCTATTTGCTCTTTGGCTGCCAACCATCGCTCGGGAAGGAATGTGTCAGGGAAGGGTGAAAAGTTTTCGGCCTGGCGATGGAGCGAATATGTGTGAACAACAGCGCTGGTGCCTTCTGGTACGAAGCTGGAAGCGAGTTAGAGGGAAAGTCAAAAAAGCCGATGTTTGCGTACTGAGAGCCTATGATCTGGCCTCCGCTCCCAATGAGCGGCGCGCGTTGACTCCCGCTGAGGACAGCGGGAAACAAGCGAAGCGCTTCATTTCTGCAAACGAACATGAGTACACCGATGGCAGGGAAAAGAAAAATATGAGCCCACATAACAGCGTTGAGATACGGCATGTGAGCTTGCGAAGCGGGAACCCAGGTGTCCCTTTTCGGATCGTCGACTTCAGCTTGGAGTCGGCGGTACGCAGTAGGATTACAAAGGAGAAGGAAAAATGCGTGTGAAAGGGTTGTCGACGTCGTCTCCGAGCCGGCCACGATAGCCAACCCGCCATCCGATGTGACCTGAGCGCTCGAGGGCGGGGTTGCTTCAAGACCTGCTTCGTCGATCTAGCAATCCCAATAAGTATCATATTCTGACACCTAGAAAGTTCAGTACCAAGTGATAAAATACATCTTTTTGATGCGACCCGCGGGCCTTGCGCTCAAACGCTCGCTGTGCTGCGTATGTACGAAATGCTCGGAGATCCCGGCCAACCCCTGGAAGCCGCAGATAAAATTCTGCGGTCCATGGAAGATGAGACAGGAATAATGCCATTCTAAACTTGAATCCTTAAATCTGGAATGGTTAAGATCGACGGAGGACTTACGGTTGCGCATTTCCCAGAAGGCGGGATATATCCCGATCTTCTGTCTCCATAGAATCTCCCCCACCACTGAACCTACCATAGAAATTCAATTCAAGTCTAATTTCAAAGGAAACATCTAGCCCACATTATGTCGTTCATTATATCGTATCTATTCGAAGACTTGTGAGCGTACGATGTAGAAAATTTAAGCAATGACATACGTGAGCCACCCTAACCATTGTGATAAATCCACAGAGGTACCGATTTTGGTGGTCAAAATGTCCACAAGTTGCGAAACTCGTGCGTCGACGAGGACTTCGTAGTCTTTCAATGCCGGAGTGTTGAATGCGCGCGTCCAAGCGCGACGCCTGCGTGCGTGTTCTTCGGGATTCCGCAGCGCCAAGAGCGGCCTTACTTCACGGTTTTGAGCTGGAACACGGCCATCCCACCCTGTTCAGGCGGCGGGCTGAGTTTGAGCGTAAAACCGTCTTTCAACTATACTTACATGGTCCTTTTGGCATTCCCTTGGATCCCATCATCGGGACGATGGCTTTAACGTCACGAAAGGATAGTTCATTGGGACCTAAATCGCAAATTAGATGTATGACCTTGAAATCTAATTGTAGCTCACCTATCCTGACCACATCGCCGAAGCGCTGGTGCAGCTCAGAGTAATAAAGATGTTGCTTCCCCTTCATGGCGACTCCAGCAAACCAGAGCTTCGAGACCTTGCAGAGCATCGGCCCAGGGTATTTTGCGAGTGGGTGAAATGGCGAAAGGCGGTAGAGGACGACTGATGTTCCGAGGGATGAAATGTATAGCGCGAATGTCAATGGAACAGCAGATGACAGGCCAGACGTGTGCGGAAGAACGAGGACCGTCAAGACAGAGGGGGGAACGGCGAGAAGAAGAACCAAATGAAGCAGGGATCGTGGTTCCAAGCGGTTGAATATCAAATGACATGTCTGGAAATGAATCAGGACAGTTTGTAAAATGGGTTGTAAAAACTGGACACACCAGCCCGGCGCATATCACGCTGAGGAGAGTATGTTCAAATTCAAGGGGCTGGAATGGCAGAGAAAGGAGCATTCTAGGGCGAGAGGGATTAATGATGTAGGTTTCGAGTTTCCGGCCTATAAATATGTAAACTTCTCCGGCGTCGGGGTCACACGCCCTCGGCTTCCGAAACAGGGTAGTCGGTAGTGTTTCCGTTTAGGTCCAAACTGATGATTCAAGCTCCGCCTGGTATACTTCGCCGAGCCATTTCCGAACCTACGCGAAATGCAGGAGTGAACTGAGCGACCGCAACGTCACTCCACACGTCCCGGTACGATCCACGGGATCGATTGGACCCGAATTAGGCCTCGGAATCAAAGCCGATCCAGCAAAACGTTAAGGATTGCGAAGCCCTCATTACGATCTTGCCCGCGCCGATAGGAGAGAGCGAGAGGCGAACCGAGATGTCAGCAGAATGAGAACGTATACCATACCCAGTCATCGGGAACCATATTAATTATATATAAGTTCCACTTGACTGGGGTTTCCTTGGAATCTACCTACCTACCTTGGCTGCAAAAACGCATCTAACATTTCTTGGGAACGATTGCTTGGGGGTACGAGATTTCATAGAGTGATCTCAAGGCAACCCAATCCAGTTTGGAGAGTAATCGAGCCGGATGAAAATTAACATCAATTATGGCAGGTTCATGCCATGGGCAAGACGGGCGGTGCACGATTCCAAGGAGGCAGGTACGGCAAGTAGGCCCAGGTTGGTGCGTGGGGGATGTAATGCAAAGCATATATCGGCAGTTTCCAGCAAATTGCATTCCGTTGTTAGCGAGTAGGCGATTTATTCGCATCTAGATGGTTAAGATCGAGAGGTACCAGGGGGCGACGCACTGACTCCAATGACGAATGGACGGAGCGGAAATCCGACACAACCGCGGATTGGGACCAGCGAAGGAGGCGGGGACTCTAGGGCGCCGACGTGCATGGATTCAGCTCGAGATAAGTACGGGAAGAGGGACCATACTCGCGGAGGCTAGTTGGCAGAAGGAGAAGTTCAATTGATCGTTTGATCTCGGCTCGTGCCGGCTCAGTTGTGAACGCTTCGGCCGCTTCGGCCGCGCTCTGGTTCTTCGCCAGCAGGCAAGTTGAATTTCAAGCAACGGCGGGCGCACTTCCCTAAATCTACTTGAAACTTCACACTACTAAATTTATGAGATTTAGACGCTCGAGGTTACCTTCCTGCCGTGCGACGAGCCACGCGTTGACGCGCGAAGCGGGATTCTGTCTGGTGAGTTCCATGATTCCATGAATGTTGTCGGGTCAGGAATGCTCTTCTGTCAGCGTTGCATTGATGTTGAGCCACGCAGTTCTCTCACAACGCCCAATGCAACCCTCCAAAGCGCCTATAGTGGAGACTAGTACTTGGGTTGGAAAAAATTTCCCCATTTTCTCCGCGCTTGGGCTGGGATTCATTTAAATACCTGTTAGACGGCGGCGACTTGAACTAACTAGCCTGCCGATAGAAAACAACGAACTAGTTTGGCTGGTGTTATCTAACTAGTCAATATATAGACCACTTGGCAATTACAAAGTCCGGCTCAGTGTATCCTGGGCTAGTTCCGTACCTTCTGGTATTTATTCCCTCCTTCTCCCGTTTCGAAACTTGAATGGCCTTAATTTTCAACTTCTGGTGGTCCTTGAATCTCTGCCGCTTCGAGGCCCGATCCATCCGGCATGACTCCCACTGTTGGCCTCCGGCGAGCGTCCCACCAACGTTTGCGTCGGATAGCGGCGTCAATTCCTTATTCGGAGGAAATGAACAAGCCCAGCCGTGCACTTTTTGCTGCTCACCCCATCTGCGCTGTTCCCTGATACTGAATTTAAATTTTGGCTATTTTCGGCCCCCGAGGTAAAAGGATCGCAACGAGCTCTACAGAGTTTCAACACAGATTTTCAGCTTTCTACCTCGTGACGTGGCCCAAACCCGCTCAGTTAAACTCGTATCCCCTGGAGTAAATCAGCCCTAACTGTCGCAGTTGAGTCATGAATTGCACAGATCATTCCATAGTTCGTCGGTGAACTCGGCCAGACGTCATTCAAGTTGGCGATGAGGGACTCGGAGCTATATGTAGCATTCAACTTGTCCCTCGAGTCTTTCCGGCCTAACTGTCGCAGTTGAGTCATGAATTGCACAGATCATTCCATAGTTCGTCGGTGAACTCGGCCAGACGTCATTCAAGTTGGCGATGAGGGACTCGGAGGCTATATGTAGCATTCAACTTGTCCCCTCGAGTCTTTCCGGCATATGCGGATTGGATCGGACGCCCATGTGTTTGATACATAGTAGGCCGATGTATTGTAGCTACAACCCGGCACGTTCCGAATGGGGCATCTAGCCAGATTTCTAATTTATTCAGTAAATCATGTCAGGGATCTACGAGATTCGAGTCCCCTTTAACATAGAAATTAAATATTGAACCCTCCTTTCATCAAGGCCGTGTGGCAAAATGGTTACTGCGTTGCTTTCCGAGTGCTGTTTACGTAACCACCAAGGCAGAGACTGTGGGTTCGAGTCCCACCATGGTCGCTTTTTACAGCCTATTTGGCTGCCCTTTTGCCTTGAATTCACCATCCCAACGTTTTCCGACATAGGCCGAAATTTATAGAATATTATGGTACCATTTGACAGGAATTTTGATGGAATTGATCGAAAATTGATGGCACTTCCGAATCGGTCATATCTCGTCCATTGCACCAAGTCGAAAGGAGACTACTATCTCTGACTAGGAACCTGGGCACACTAGGAACCTGGGCACTTGCCAAATATATGCATGAATAGTACCAAATGTTAACAACTTTGACTTGCGGAGGGACTACGACCCCTGACGCCCATCTATGCCAAATTTTGAGGCGGAATGTTGCGTTGATCGAAAGCTGTGCCTCGTTTGATCGCGGGCCGGAGGGTGAGAGCATCATTTTCTTAATGCCGAGAGGCCATTTCACCTGTTTCTCCACCATTCCTCGGTCGATCCACAAGTTTTGGGGCTCGTTCTAACCGCAAAAATCTCGCGCTCATCACCTACATCAAGGGCTTCCGGAAATTCGCTTTCCCCCTTATAAAACCTCCAGGATAAACATGGTGTGCCCTCAAATACCTCACTGCCGCGACCTCCATATCAAACAACCTTTTGACCCTATCGATCTAGAGCTCCACATAGTCTATTATGATGTATAAGGCTTCAGTTTCGAAGTTCGACTACTATTCTATCTGTTTTATGTCTCTCTTAGCATCGACCATGTACCAAATCAGCCGATTTTCTCTAGTACCAATGTCTAAATGCCGGGTTCTCGACAGTTCGACTCAGGAGTGGATCCCTGGGCCAAGTATGTCCATCTACTTATTATGAAGCCGTTTGCAGCTTATTTTGGGCGACTATGTCCTCTCACTGTTGCGCGGCAGTCGTTTGATCAGCGGTATGGATCTCGCACGCGCTTGGCATCGTAAGCACTCAGTTCTACCATTTTTCTAGGTCCAACATACCTTTTTGGCATCTGCGATACTGTAGTTTTATCCCCTGAACATCATAAAGCAGCATAATGGCATTAAATGAGCTGGCAACAATGAATTTGCATGGGTGCCCAGGTTCCCCATAATTGCCCTTTCGGGAGTTTCGCCCGAACTAAATTCACCACACCTTCAAAATGTCCCCAAATACGCCCCAAATAGGCTCAATTTGTTCCCAGGATGCGCGCCTACCATCTAAAACTTTCAGATGTTCAAAAAGTCTCTCGAGGGAGTTGTTAACGGGTCAAAACCCTTAAGGTGCCCAGGTTCCCAGCGCGTGATAGTACCTGCAGACCATCCCAAGCGCTCAAAATAAAAAAAAAGAAAGGGCTACCTGTGATTTTCGCAAGTCAGGGAAACACTTAATGGGCAAGTCCAAAGGGGCCTTGGGCGTATTTTCAACGTACTAAGGATTCAATTGTAAATTAAATACAAGGTTACACCGACAATTTACATGGTAATGTACACAATCCGCTCTCCGACTTTCAAAAAGTGGGCGTGTCAAACGTATTCTCACGGTCTGCAGTGAATCACATTAGCCCAGCTGCCGAGAAAAGGTCTGAACACAAGCGCTACGCACCCTTGCCGTTGGCATAGATGTACTCCCGCTCCTTGGACGCAAGGTGCTTGATGTACGACTCGCGTTCGTGCGCGGTGACCGCGAGTTTGGGGTTGGAACGCGCCCCGCCGCGGATGGCGGCGGCGGCGACGTCGTAGCGCGAGGTGTGGTTGCACAGCATCATCTGAAAGAAGTTTTGAGCAACCGTGGCGGGGAAATTTTGCAAACGTACGTCAAACGGCGAGGTCGTTGTGCCCTCCTCACGGTAGCTAAAAACGCGGGGGTTAGCACAAGTCGACTAAGCGCAAGGGAGCAGCATACCCCTCAATCGACACCCTCTCGAGCCTCGGACGGCCGAAGAGCAGGCCCTTGAGTTCGATCGGGTACCCGTGGTAGTTGAAGTGGATCGGCTTGTCGGGCGTGAAGAGCGAGTCGAATGTTTCATTGCTGAGGGAATGTGGGTGGGAGCCGGTCGCGCTGAGGATCATGAGGTCCATGACGTTCACGACGCGCACGCGCAGCTCGGGGGCCTGTTTGCGCAGGAGGGCTGCAGCGGCGATGACTTCGAAGGTTACTTCGACGCCGATGCCGACGAGGACGCTGGCAGGTGTGAGCAGGGCGCGGCAGCGAAGTGTGGTATAGCTTACACGTCGGGGTTGACGCCTTCGTCGACGCTGGCGAATTTCCAGACCGAGGCGCCGGCGATGCAGTGCTAACATTACATAAGTCTCTGCAGTGGAAGAAGCAGCACACAAATACCTTGTCCGCATCCTCCGGTGACAGCCACACCGGCGTGGGCTGCTTACTGCCGACCATGAGATTCACGTAGTTCTTCGCCCGAAGACAGTGCGACATCGTGGACAGGAAACAATTTGCGTCGGGTGGCAGATACACGCGCGCCAGGGTGGATTTAAGGTTGAGGACGGCTCCGATGAAGGCACTGAAATAGTGTGTCAAGACGCTGAGGATGAACGAAGATGGAGACACGTACGGGTTTTGATGAGAGAAGCCGTTATGCTCCTGGCGCGTCCAGGTGGACGTCTCGAGGTAATTGAGGGACCCACAAGGCTGGCGCCACTGAGTCTCGGCCGACTGCAGACTGTCTTGGACTTGCGGCAAAGAAAAGGAACAGAGTGACGCACCATCTTCGTGAACTTGCTATACTGCACCATCATTGTTTGTATGATTCCTACATGGCAATCAGCTCGTACAGCGCACCGCGAGAGGAGAGACGAACCAAGGAATGCCTCGTAGCTGGGGAATAAACCCGTTCTGCCGGTGAGTGTGTAGCCCTGGAGCATGCCCTGGCAGGTATGCTCGGAAAGAATTTCGATCACACGTCCACCTTTGCCGCGCGATTCGATGTCCCACTGGAAATTGCGGGAGCTCTCATCAAGCACCGCGTCCAGCTTGTTGGAAACGAGCTCGTCCGGGGAGAAGATACGGAACGCGTGCGGGTTTCTGGTGGGGGAGTCAGAACAGAGAAGAAGCATATGTTTATAAACGTACTCTTTGACGACACCCTTAAGGAGCCGCCCCACCGCCTTCATACAGCTTTCCTGCGTGCCCTGCTTGGCGCAGAAGGTTCTCCACCCGGGCACTGTCAACGGCGTGTATGCTCGGAAGCTCTCTTTCTTTTGGCCGAGCCGCTTCTGCGTGGCCTCAGGCACGATGCTGAGGACCTCGGGCACCGGGATACCGTCGGCGGTAAACAGTTCCTCGGGGCGGTAGGACTTGAGCCACGTCTGCAGGGCAGCGAGCTCCTCGGCAGAGGTCTTGGCGCCCGGGAGGGGCACTTGGTGCGCGTGGAACGACCCTTCGATGAGCTCACCGTGTAACACCTTGGGTCCGCCAAGGCCCTTTGGCGTGCGCAGGATGAGGACGGGCCAACGGGGCTTGACGATGGGATTGCCGCTGCGGGCGGCACTCTGGATCTTCTTGATCTCGGCGAGCGCCCAGTCCATCGACGCGGCGAGGTCGTTGTCGATGTTTTTGACGTCCTCGATGATGCGCACCTGGTAGCCGTAGCCGCTGGGAGCGACGTCAGGGGATAAAGGATAGATGGACAGATATGGCATACGTGAAGAGCGCGGTTATCTCCTTGTTGTCCATCGTACCGTAGATAGTACGTTCGGAGATTTTGAACCCGTTGACGTGCACAATAGGGAGCACTGCACCGGACTCGGCAGGGTCGATGTACTTGAAGCCATGCCAGGCAGTGGCTGTCGGCCCGGTCTCGGCCTCCCCATCTCCTACCACGCAAGCGACGACAAGGTCTGGGTTGTCCATGACCGCGCCAAAGGAAACGCTGAGCGCGTAGCCAAGCTCTCCGCCCTCGTGTATTGCGCCCGGTGTCCCAGCGTTTATATGGCTGTCATGAGTGTTAGTCTGGTGTATATAATATAATGAATTGATTCTGACCTAGGGAAGCCTCCTGGAACACTGAAGCTTGAAATGAGTTTGTGAAGGCCCTGGTAGTCCCGAGTGTTTTCGGGGTAGAATGTGCTAGGGAGTCTTCGAGCCAGAGGCAAGACAGAATGGCAGGAGCACCGTGACCTACCGAAACAACATTCAGATAAGGAAGGTGGAAGAGGAATACGGGTGTTCCATAATCGGGTCGGTTGGGCTCAAACCTCCCGAAGCTGGGCCAATTATGAAACACCTCAATCATACTGACCTGGGCCGACGACGTATAAGGCTTCGAGACCAGTCTTGCGGATGAGCCTGTTTAGGTGCGCATAGACCTACGAACGAGTTAGAATTGGACGGGGTGTCTCTCAAGAGAAATCAAGTACCATGATGAGCCAGGACAAGTTCCCCAGTGGCCTAACAGACGCGGCTTGATGTCGTCATAAGTTATGTCGCGCTCAACGAGGACATCGTGGTTGAGAAATATCATTGCTGCAGTTGCGTATCAGCAGAGACCACGAAAGGAAAGGGGACCTACCCGCTGCGATATAATCTGCGGCCCTACGGAACATCTTCATGGACTTGAGCTCATCGTTCGAGAGATAGTTCTTGGTATCCAGGTGGACACTGAACTGGAGCATGGAATCCGGCAGCAGCGAGGGTTCCGCCGGCGGATTAGCTTGGAGTAGAATTTGACCAGGCATTGTAGTAGATGCTAAGGCGCGAGGAAATGTTGTCCGCCATTCCGTTCTGCCGTCTTTTTATAATTTCCAGGAATAGAGCGTGGAGAAGCGTCAAAAAGCGCGTCACGAATAAGGTCAATCCAGGCCAGGCCCTTTTGTGTCCCATGATGCACATAAGTAGTATTAAGCTGACGTTCGGCAGGGTCCGGGGCTCAACGTTCAACGTTCGAGTTGGCTTTGAGTTGGCTGCGCTGCCGGCGAGACCGACTCCGACTCGTTCGGATCAACACAACAATCGCAAACGTTTCTGCTTTCTTCTTCCCCTCCAGCCCTGAGTTTATTCCGAGTCTCTGCCAGTGCCATAGAGCCTG